GGGGCTCCTGGGTTCCCTGGGAGGGAGGTTACAATGCTGCTGGCGGCTGCAGCCTCCCTTCCTCCCAGAGAGGACTCCGAAGGGAAGGGTGAGAGGTTGGCCGCTGAAAACTGAATTGGAGTAGCATGTTGGTAAATAACCGTGTGGGGACAATTGCTTGCTGGGCCCTGGCAGGTGGATGAGATGTGGCCCAGAGGGAGTGAAATGAAGTTAAAAGGAGTGTTGTTGCTCCATGTGGAGCCAAAAGGTTACTCTGCCCTGCACTTGGCATCGAGTTTCCTTCCCCAAAGTAGCAGGAGTAACAGCGTGATGCCTAGAATGCTTTCCTGTCTAGCAGGAGCCCCAGAGTCCCAGCTCTCTGGCTTCACGCACGTGTTGTGTCACAGGGGAAGAGGCACAGTGGGAGCTTGGCTGGTGTTGTTCAGAGCTGCACTGGAGATGGGAGCAGCCCTCTCTCCACCTCCCTCTTGCTCCAACCCCAGGAGTCTGGGTTGGGGGAGTGGTGGGAAATGGGGCTACCTGAGACAATGTTTCACTTTTTGCTGGTTTCTCTTACTTGGAGAGGGAGGAACAAGGGGGAAAGACTTTCCTATGGGATTCAGAAAAGGGGAAGCACCTCATGCTTGTTCTGGACTTCCCTCTCCCACCACAGACATCCCTTCTTGGGCTGTGTGTGGGCTGGGCATCGCTAAATAACCCCCAAGCCCCTCATACTGCCAAGGGAGTAAATGCTGGTGTTGAACTGTTTTGTATTGCCTGCAGCTCTCCCCAGGTGGGGTTCCTGCGCTTCCTCAACCTGCTGGCAACCTTTGACTGGAAAAACAACCCTCTGATCATCAACCTGAACGCTGGCCTCACAGGTGAGCAGGCAGCATGCAGGAGAGCCGTGGTGTGAGGGTCTTGAGCCCTCCTTGGTCAGCACCTGGCTCCGGGGGTCTTGTGTACATGGGAGCATCATGGCTTCTGGCAGGGCAATGAGGTTTTCCCTTCTGTCATGCCATGCTTTTGAAGCCCTCTGCTCCTTCGTAGCCAGCGTTTTTGCTTGAGGCTTTGCCCTGGCTCTTGGGGGGCCAAACCTTCAGTTGTGCCAGGAGAGCAGTCAGGCTGTTGAATGGGAAGCTTCAAAGCTTCCTGCGCTGTGTCTGCTTTGAGAGCACTGCTGCACCACTCAGGTCACGGGGATCATCTACTAGTGCCTGATTTCAAAACCTGCAGGGGAAAAGGGCTGCAGTCCTCCAGGTTTTGTTACCTCCTGAGCATTGAGAATTTCCTGGTAAAGGTCTCTGGTTTCTGAATGAGCATGTTGGTGCATCCAGGCAGACTTGCACTCCTGCACTCTTCCTTGAGTTTTGTCTGTTGATCGTCTTTTGGATACATGCTGTCTTTCCTCAGGAGCCAGAAGAGACCAGGGGATTGTCTTGGCTTTGGGTGGTGGTGAGGTGGCAGAGATAACTACACCCAGCTTTTAAAGCTGATTTATAAGAAAAGGTAAAGCTGCTTGGTAGTGGTCTGTGCAATGCTGGAGGGAGCAGCTGTTTCTGTGGGTTTCAGCACTTCCTGAACATTTTCTTTTTTGAGAGAGAGAATTGGGTTTGGGAAACTGATATTTTTCTCCCCCCTGGCTTCTTTTAATGAACTAAATGGGAAGCATTTTTGGCCAAAGAGCTATTTTTTTCCTCACTTGAGGGAGGGTGAAAAAAAGTAGAAAACTCTTTGGGTACAAACTCTGTCATTAACTTATAATGTGGGTTCCCAGCAAGCGTCAGTCCCAGTGCCTGCTGTGTCTTGAGCCACATCTGCGCCTGCCTGGGTGGGTTTAGAGCAAAGGTCCATCTAGCCCTGCATCCCGTCTCCAAAACTTCCCGCAGGCGGATGCTGAGGGAAGCGTGAGAGCAGAGCAAGCCTGTGGCGATGGAGCATGTGGACTGTGGGATTTGTATCAAGAATAGTGTGGCCAGCAGGACCAGGGAGGTGATGGTGCCCCTGTACTCAGCACTGGTGAGGCCACACCTCAAGTCCTGTGTTCAGTTTTGGACCCCTCACTCCAAGAAGGACATTGAGGTGCTGGAGCGTGGCCAGAGAAGGGCAATGAAGGTGGTGAAGGGTCTGGAGCACAAGTCTGGTGAGGAGCGGCTGAGGGAGCTGGGGTTGTTTAGCCTGGAGAAGAGGAGGCTGAGGGGAGACCTTATCGCTCTCTACAGCTACCTGACAGGAGGCTGTAGCGAGGTGGGAGTCGGTCTCTTCTCCCAAGTAACAAATGATAGGACGAGAGGAAGTGGGCTCAAGCTGCGCCAGGGGAGGTTTAGGTTGGATATTAGGAAATAATTGTTCACCAAAAGGGTAATCAGGCATTAGAACAGGCTGCCCAGGGAAGTGGTTCAGTCTTCATCCCTGAAGCTATTTAAAAGAAGGCTAGACGTGGTGCTCGAGGACATGGTTTAGTGGTGGACTTGGCAGTGCTATGTTAATGGTTGGACTTGATGATCTTGAGGGTCTTTTCCAACCTTAACGATTCTATGATTCTATGATCAGAGGGTGGGAGAGGATAAAGCCTGTTGTACTGCCCTTTTCTGGGCTGTGATATGTGGACGAGAAGGCTGGAGGTCTGTGGGTGGGGCAGAGCATCTCACTCATCTGCCTGCCCTCACCAGATGCTGACTGCACAGAGATCAAGAACAAGTTTGTGGCTGCTCGCTCTCGCCTCCCTGTCATGTTCATTGCCACCCCCAAAGACCAGTGGAGCTCCATGTGGACTCAAGAGCGTCCCTCAGCGCAGGTGAGCTGGACCCTCTGTCCTTGCCCTGTGGTGGCTGCTGGCTTGGGGCAGTTCCCTGTTCCCGGTGCTGGAGCCAGCTCCAACAGCCCTGTGGGTGAGTGGGGTCCCTGCTACATCCAGGACTGCTGAGTTTCACCCTTTGGCTTTTTTCCTTCCCCAGATCCTGCAGCGCCTTCTTGTGCTGTCCTCAGAGTCCCTCCGTGCCCTGGAGGAGCAGCTCATGGACCCGCTCAACAGCCAGGATGTGAAGGTAAACCCTTGGGGTGCCAGCACAAGGGTTTTCAGGCTCTGGTAAAGCATACTGGTCTTCAGTGATGATTGCTGGGATGTGTTAGTAGGATTCAGGCTGTGGCCGCATGTGGTTGCCCCAGGATGAAGAGCAGCAAGGATGGGAGCTTGGAGGCTAGTACCCTGCTTCTGGGGGATCCAGCTCTGGATAGCAACTTGGGGTGAAATATCATTGACTGGGGAAAATCTGTTTTGTATTCTCTGATTTTCTTGGGGCACGAGCAAACCTGCAATGTTCCTGTGCCAGATCAGTTGCATGTCTGTGGCTGGAGCAAATGGTGCCTCTGGAAGAGTCTGTCTTGGTGTAACTGTGCAAATCTGGCTTGTGCGCTCGAGTCTAACCAAGCCCAGGGTGGCGGAGGTTTTGGTAGGACACTAACAGGCACTTTGGGAAGACGTTATTTTGGTTTGAGCAGAGGAGCAAGGCTGTGTATAGTTTAACCCTCTTCATTTTCTCTTTTAAGTTAAAACATCAATTGCTCAAATGGACATGAGAGATGCAGACAGTTATTTACCCTTTGAAGGGAGATATGTGTATTTTGAAGGGGAGCTTGTTGGTGTACCAAGTAGTCACTTAGGCAATTGAAGCTGAGAGGATTCAAAAAGCCAAACAGTGGTTAGATATGACATATTCACATTAGAAAAAAAGATCACATGGAGTTTTCTCCTGCCTAGGCATTATAAAAAGGATTTACTGACGGTGCTTTCAATTTTGCTGCATTTTGTACTGGAGGTATTACAGGGGTGAGATCTACTTTAGGTGGGAGCAGTGTGTGTTACTGGGCTGTGAGGGGGTGAGATGCTGTACATGAGATGTGCCCAGTGTGCCGCAGTTGCAGTGTGGACCCAGGACGGAAGCTCAAGAGGTGCAGTGTGAGCTGGGGGTGGTTAGCTCCCAAAACAATGCCCGCCCAACCCCTCGACTCAGCCTCCTTGGTCGTCCTTCCCCCTTTCCTCCCCTTGGGCATTGCAGCAGGATCCTTTCTCATCCCCAGGGTGTCCCTGTGGTCTGTACCAGCATCCTCCCAGGCCTATGACATTCCTTAGGGATAAACACGGCATGCTGTTTCTAGGACTGCTAATCTGTTTGTAAGCAAAGTGTGGGGATGGGAAGAGGGGAAAACCTTTCCAGTGAAACTTGGAGTTGCCTCCTCTTCCCATGTATCTAAGAGGGTACTCCAAGGTTTTTTTTGTCTTCATTTAAGTTGCTTGGGGATGTGCCCGCTGTCATGCAGATGCAGACATGGGTTTGTGAGGTCCGTGTCTTTGCTCCGAGGGGGTGCAATAAGCCATGGACTTGGTCAGCTGGGTGGGAAAGGGGGTCTGTGTGGATCAGAGCTGGGAGTCTGTACTGGCTGCTGATGTTTTTCATGTGTGTTCTCCCCAGCCTAGCTATAAACCAGCTCTGAGCAGTGGGTTTTCTGCCACGCCTCTGTTCATGTCCCTGCATCATTTATTCTACAAAAATGTACACATAGTTTTAATTTTTTTCCATTTTAATACAGCTGTATCCACTGTGCCAGATCCTGCCTGTCCAAATATTTATGTGTCTGGGATTTCTCCTGTCCATTAATGGGACTTGCTCTCGCCCTCTGTCTGCTTGATAGAAGATGCTGCTGCCCTCTGGGGCAACTCTTGTTGGACAGATGGGACCGTCCTGTTATTACACAACTCCTTGTGTCCCCTGGGTGTCGTTCGGCTCCTGTTAGCTTCTTGACTCCCCTCTTTGTTCTGAGACTCAGCCACGTGCAGCGTGGTTACCTGTCTAGCTCACCGTCTGTCCCGTTCTCGACTGCTCACCCCACTATCGTGCACTGAGGTGGGCTTCCTGGGGTCTCTGGTCAGGGCTGGAGAGGACCACGTTGGCCCCCTGGAAAGCTCTTCTTCAGGGACCGTCCCCAAGTCCTGGGGACAGAGGTTAGATTTTTCTGCTGACCTGGGAAACCAATAGAGTAGAGCGTGTAGTCCTTCTGGCTAGAGGTCCAATGGGGGCAGGGATCATCTCCCTTCTCTAAGGGTTGAGCTTGCTGTACAGTTAGGCTGTGGCAGTCCAGTGTGTCCTTCCTGGTGCACTTTGGTGGTCCAGAGGACATTTAGCCTATCCACCAGGAGATGGCCATGGGGGAACCACCTTGCTTGACAGAGTCCTTGTTACAGCACTTGCATGGGGTATAGGGGAGTGAGGGCCACATCCTTCTGATATGAGCAGAGCCCATGCTGGATCAGGGATGTGTCTCAGCCCAGAGGGAATGGGGTGGCCAGTATGGGCTGGAGCTCCCCATGGCTCCACCACAGCCGTGTTTTTCCTGTGGATGTTTTGGCAAACTTCTGAATAAACCAAAGCCAAATTTTTTGTGAGATTTACTGCTTTCTAAGGAGAAGGGAATAAAGTGCAAGCAAGGATTTGAGAAACCTGTCCCATCTCTCCTGTTTGCCTGTGTCCTATGTTGAGTAGCACTGATCTTTTCTCCTTGCAGATGGTCTTCCGCCCTCCTTTGGATTTCTATGATGTCCTGATCCACCTGAATCCAAACCAGATTCCTCGGCATCTGGAAAGCGTGGACCGGCCACTGAAGTCGTTTTCCCGGGGTGTGGTGAAGAACAGCACTGCAGTGAAGATCCTCTTTCCTGTGGTGGATTATGACCCCGTACAGTGCTACCTCCAGGAGCTGAGAGTAAGCATGGCCCTTTGGGAGGCACAGGGGACTACCTGCCTAAGGAGCAGCTGCCTTCTGGCATTCAGGTCATCAGTTGCCTGCCACTGCAGGACCTAGTTGGTGACATCTTTATGTATTTTGCATGTGATGGTCACTCTTTGTGTGCATCTGAAATCGCTTCTTCAGCAGAAGACCTGGTGAATGCATCACCTGTTCCATGGAAATGGGAGTGCTGCTGATGTGAGAATGACCTCAGATACAAAGCACCTGGAGCTTTTGCTGAAGAATATGATACTTCAGTGCAAAAGTACCTTTAAGCCATTTGTCTCTAGTCCTTCTTGCACCAACTGGGATGCACAGTGCGTAGTAGCTACCTATAATTTCTGGGAGGATGTACAGGAATCCATGGCATGGTACCGGTAGGGCTCCTGCTGTTAGGCCAGTGGTTACATGAGCCATAGAGGCTGAATATTGGTCACAGGCTGGTTTCTCTGGGGCTGGTTACATGCATGATGGCAGAGGAAGTTGGTAATGTGGGTATATGGAGAACATCAGTATCCAAACTTATCAACCCAGTGCTTTTTCACCATGTAGCCATGCCAAAGTCTCAGCAAGATGGGGAGATACGCAAGATGCTGGGTGGCAGTGGTGATCCACACTGGATCTGAACAAACAGTACGTTGCAGTTGTGCAGCCTTTGCCTCTTTGGCCCTTCCCAGCTTTGCGTGCAGTAGCTGAATAACTGTTAGTGTGCAGAGAGGTGGGGCTGTGATGCCCTTTTTTCAAAACCTGGCTCGACTTTAAAGTGCTGTCATCCCTTACCTACAGAAGTGATGTGGACAGTGTCAGAACTGCCATAGGAGTGGTAGGTTGGCTTTGGCAGGACAGGTGCTGCGTAGGTCTCCAGCCCCATTCCCCACTCCGGTCAGAGCCAGCTTCGATGTTAGAGCAGGCTGCGCAGAGCCCGGTCCTGTTGAATGCTGACTGTGTCCAGGGATGGACATTTCCCACCTCCCTGTCCCAGTGTTTGGCCATCATTGTGAAAATTTGTTTCCTAATGTCTGACTGGGGTTTCCCTTATTGCAGCATATGTTCGCTCCTCAGGTCCCTGCGGTAGCTGGGCTGTGCTAGTGGCAGCTTGCTGGAAGTCAGAGCTGGAGCTCAGGGGGCTCCAGCTTTAGCTGTGCTCTGGCAGCTCCTGGCTGGCCCTGCCAGCCCTGCTGGGCAGCGTGGCAAGTCAGAGGGCTTTCCTCTTGCCCTTCTCCCGACTGATACGCCAGGCGGGTTTTGTCCACATTCCTGTATGCACTTCTTGCCTGAAGATTTGGTATCAGCTTCTCTCCAAGCTTGTGCTGGGGAAGGAGGTGTGCCTGCAAAAGAAAAATGGTTTTTGGGTAGCCTCTCTTCTCTTCCTGGGCTGCCTCCTGCAGGCTCTGCAGGGTTTAGCATTTTCTGATGCCCGAGTTGGCTAATCTTGCACAGCTACTGAGTGTTTCTCTGCTGCCACTGCCAGGCTTGGCAGTGGTTGCGGCTGCAAGGAGGGACAGTAGAAAGGGCCAGATCTTGCCTCCAGGTCCGTAGAAGGAATTGCAGAGGTGGCTGAATTAAAACTCCAGTTCAGGCTGGAAGATGCTGGGCCCTTCAGGTTTAAGCTCCCCTTTCACTTTAACCCAGGTAGCTTAGGAGGTGGCCAAAGAAAATTTGGAAGGGCTTCTTTGAAGGTTTCCTCCTCCTCCTAGACACAGCCCTGTTACCTCCCATGCCATCTGCCAGCTGCATTTTGTGCTGATCTCTGCCCAGTCAATGGGAATCTGCTGTGGCTTCAGTAGAGCTACCAGGTCTAGTAAGGTGCAAGCTCAGTCCTTCTGTAACCCACAGCAGGTTGGGACAGTCTGGGGTTGGGTAAGGAGGGGAGAGACAGGCATGCATGCGAGACCTCTTTAAATTGAGGAGGACTTCAAAATTGTCCCAGCGTTTCCATGCAAGCAGCACTGCTGGTTTAGCTGGGAAGTCATGGAGGAGAAGAGAGGGGAGAGAAGGTGCTCAGTGCGCTCCTGCTTTTGAGAAGGAAGATGGTTTTGAAGCTGGAGGTCCTGCAGGACACATTGCAGAGAGTATTTGGGGGGTTTCTTGGGGTCCAGGATATGTAAGAAGGAGGGGGCGAAGCACCCTGCACAAGACTTTTAAAAGGGAGCAGGAAGCACAGAGATCAGGAACTGTTCACTGTTTCTCTCTTTCCTGATGTCTGGATCTGAGGAGGAATATCAAGAGACTCTTCTGTTACCTGTATGATGAGGATTTGACCTGCCACCATGAAACCTCAACCAAGAGGCATAGATCTGGGTAGGAAATGGAGTTTCTTAAGCCTGAAGTCCCTCTCCATGTCATGCTGGGAGCAGGGGTTAGAGTTGAACGGAGCCTTTCAGCAGCTGCCAAGGCTCTGGAGGTGCCTGCGTGCATGCAGCCGGAGCCTCTGTGTCTCCGGAGGGGCTGGGGCTAAGCGACCCTCACAGAGACCTGGCAGGAGGCTGACTTCGTGCTGAAGAGGAACTGGAAACTGTTGAGTGAGCCGAGGGGAGAGTAGGCTCCTTGGGGAGGCTGTTAACAGGCTTGCAGCAAATCATGCTGTGTATTGAGGCACTCCATCAGGAAACTCATCGGGGTGTGTTGCAGTTTATAGGACTTTTTTGTGCTTCTAGTCAACTCAGTGTCAGCAAACGGCTCCAGAAGTGAAAGGTGCAGAAGAGAATTCCCTGGAAAGCAGCTTTCATTAATCTTTAAGCAATTATGTTTTAATTCATCCAGTCAATTATGACATCCAAACTGAATTTTTACTGTCCATTTTCTCTAATACAGGTAAGAATAGACTCGGAATAGGGTTTGATTGGGTTACAAATTACAGCTGGTTCTAAATCCAACATACTAACATCCCAATGAAGAAACATGGGTATGAGCAAAGGTCACGTTGCCTCTTCGAAAGTAGTGTTGTGTTCACTTGATGTCTCTCACGCTTTGGCCTGAGGGTGCTTGGGAGGAACAGAGCAGGAACCGGTCACAGGTTTCCCCAAAGAAACTATGGGGTAGAGAGCCTGAAATCTGCCTTGGCAGCCCTGGCTGGGGGCCTTTTCCCCCTCTTGAAGGCTCTGAGATAGATAGGGCTGTGTTCCCTTGTGGCTGTCGTATTGGAGGTATCTTGCACTACCAGTTCACTTGGCTCTCGTAGCTTCCAGCAGGCAGGCCTGAAGGGGCTGATGAATATCTTTCTGGGCAAACAGGTGTTTCTTCTGGTAAAATCAACTGGTGACGCTGCACGTGCTCTCCAGGAACTCAGCCATGTCCACCTGTGTCGGAGGGCCTCAAAAACTGACTTGTCACTGCAGGGTCACCAGCAGGCAGGTTATGCATACTGTCAGTCAAAACTACCCTATCAGAAATCATCCAGTTTTGTGTCTCAGTGTACCAGTGTTCTTGCTTGAAGGCAAGACCTTTTAATTGGCTTTGTGCTTTGATCTGGCTTTGTTTGGTAGCCTCTCCAGCACCTTTTGCATTTCTCCTTCCCTGGCTTTTGCTTCTTAAAGCAGTGTTCAGCTCATCCTCATCCTGAAGGCTGGGAGCCCCGGGGGTGATCCAAACACAGCAAAAAACTGGTGCCGGAAAGGAGTGTGGTGACAGCAGTGAATCCGTACGAGAGATTTTGGATGAGAAGGCACTTGGACACAGAGCTGGCTGGCTTTGACTCAAGAGTAATTTGCTATCCCTTAATAGCACAAACCACAGAATTGAGCAACAGGGTTGTAGCTGAGGCTGACAGTGCAGCCGTGGTGGGTTTATAGCAATGAAGGGAGACATCTGCCACACAGTGATGCTGCAGGATTTTGTTCTCTTCTGTGGGCAGAAAAGAAACATCCGCCCTTTTCTGAGCTTGCCATGTGAAAAAGGGATTTAAATGCCCAGGCATATTGATTGAGTTGAGAGGGACAGGGAGTAGTATCTTCCCCAGTGTCCTTGGCCCAGTAACCAGGAGACCCACTTTCTCCTGTCCAGCCTGTTTGTTCCCGAGAGGTCCCTGTTCTTCTCAAATCAAAGGGGTTAGCAAGACAGGAGTGCTCCGGAGCTAAAGGATTGCTGTGTGCCTTCCCCAAGGAGCCTAATCAGAGGAGAAAATGAAAGGAGGGGAGGTGTTGAGTCCTGACTGCTTTGATTTTTCCTGCTCCAAGGAGATGTGCTGCAGGAGCTGGTGTGATTGAGTTGCTGTGGTGCCTGGGAGGCTCTGGGTAGAGATGAAAGGCTGGTCAGGGGATTCAGATGGCAAATTCTTCAATTCTAGGACAGATCTGATAGAAAAGACCTGTTCTGGGGGTCTGTCCAGATGAGAAGTCTGTGCAGACAGACGCTTTTGAGGGAAAGCAGGTGCCAGATGTCCTGCAGAGAGGGCTTCCCTGGAGCCTCAGCCCATCACCAGCCTCCCCGGCACCTACGGTCTTGAGCACTTCAGTGAGCAAGCCCTGGGTCTGGTCCTGGCGGGGTTTCTCCAGGAAGGCTAAATTAAGTTTAAGTGTCTCAAATGAGGCTCCTGTGGGATCTCTCTTGTGACTGCTGGTCTGTGTCATGGTAGCTATCAAGCTGCAGAACCCCTGGCCCTTTTTTTCCTGGATATGTGGCGTGGGAAGGTTCAGTCAGCACAGCTCTTAGTCCAGGGTGGCTTGGCTGTCCTTGAGCTCAAGGGATGATCTTTCTGCCCACATCTACTGGGTCCCTGTGGATATACTTGTCATGCCCATCTGCATGCATTCAGGAGCTCACAAAGCCCAAAGGCTCTGGTGACCTCCCCAGGGTCTAGAGCTGTTGTCTCTGGTGGACAACATCGGATGAAGCTGCCTGTGCCATGTCCATCTGCATGTCTATAATGGCTGTTGAAAGACCTAGTGTTTCTTACTGGGTCTTTGGTCTCAGTGGGTCACTGGATACAAAGCCCTCTTCTTCACTGAGGTTCAGCTTTTTCTGGCTGCATGTGTCTATCAGTTCATGGCAGAGGAGCTGCCCATCTCGTATGTGGGAGATCTTTCCTAAAGCAATGTTTTCCATTTCTTGCACCTTAAGACAAGACCTATCTGAAAGACTTACGGGCCTTCCCTTTCTTCTTGCCACGGTGTAGGAATGTCTATCTTGCTACTGCATGTTAGGAAAGAATTAATGATATTAAAAGTTCTTGGTCTCTTACAATATATAACCTGTGGTTACAGGAGGTAGCTGGAACTGGCGAAATCTTTTCAGGTCAAACTGCTCCCTTCCTGTTTTGACTGACAGACCTAACTCCTCCTATGGAGACTTCCAGGCAGGCAGAGACGAACTGAGAAAAGCTCCATGGGCTCTTGTAGGAAACCCTCCTGTCTGGATCTGTGGCCTCAGGGGGGCAGAGGCAGTGGGAACTTGCCCGCTCTTAGAGCTTCAGGGCAGCTACGTGACCCTCAGCGTAGTGCCCAGGGTTCACGTGGATGTACACACAGGCACGCATGTGCATATCGAAGCATCAGCCCCTTGTGCTCCTTGGGTCAGCTCAGAGGGTACCTGTGGCTACATTTCTCCTGTGTTGGTAATGCCTTCCTAGAGGTCTGACTTGGATTCATCCCATAGGAAGCGACTGAAGACTTTCACCTCAGATGGTTTGGTGGATTGGTGGACAAGGCATGTTTGCTAATGCAGCCCGGAGAAGATGGGTGCCTTTTTTCCTTGCCATACTTCTTTGCCGCTGCCCCAAACCCCCAGGACAAGGATGCACATGAGGCTCTGATGAGGCACTCGGAGGTGGAAAAGTTTGGATAGTTTGAAATACCTTTTACCAGGTGAATCCCAAACCTAACACCCAGGCTTCTTTTCTCTTTTAAAACCCCTCTGACACAGAAGTAAGCCCAGCCTTGCTCTGTTTGGATGTGGGGGAAGGCTCTGTCTGTATCATGTAACCTGTGAGCATTAGGGCAGGTCACAGTAGGATGACAAGGACCTTGAAGTGTTACCCACAAACGTAGTTGTTGTTGGAAGTAGCTTTACTAGGGTTTTATACTGGTAGATCCCTTGCTGAGAGCACTTTAAATGTTCTAAGCACTGAGAAAATGTTGACTGATGCATTTGCCACTTGAACTGCTGTCGCACCAGGAAGAGCTGCTAGGTGCGTTTTGGGTGCAGAGACCTCCCCGGATGGCTCCTCTTTTTCCAGCAGCTGTGATGCAATGAGCCTGATCTCTGGGTATAAGTAGGAGCAGTGAAAAAATGGGTGGATAAATGGTTAGGCCAAAAAACCCCACCCCTAAACAACAACAATGTAGTTGCTTAACTAGCAATGAGTGCTTAGATCATTGCAAAATCCATGCTTCAGCCTGAGCTGCTTGATCCAGTAATCCTATTTTAGATCAGGGTATTGTTTTATGCACCACCTTTCTCCATCCTTTCATTTGAACAACCCAGATCGCTCCTTACAGAGCTTGAGCTAATCTTCCAGGTGCTACGTACCCCTTCCCTGGACTATTAGGCTCTTCCAAATCACAGCCCCAAGATTGCAGGTACCCCGTGCCTCTGCGAGATGGGAACCAGCTGTAGGTTTTGCTGATGGCAGAGATCCTTCTGTGTGGGGAGAGCTTTCCCCGGGCCTTTAAAGCTGAACTGCAACCGAAGATAATAGCAGCTTGAGAAGGGACTAGGGGTTTAAATGTGCTCCCTGCCTTTTCTCCCTTTTCTTTTTGAACTCCCTTGAGGAAGGTGTTTGCAGGCTCAGGCAAGCCCAGCGGCACTGGGCATGGAGCGTGGGATGTGGAAAGGGAGGGGAACTCTGTCTGCTTTTGCCCCCAAAGCCTCTCTACAAACAGAAGTGCAGTGACTAATACACCAGACCCTTTTAATGCTGCACTTTCCCAAGAGTTGAATGTGCATCTCTGCAGCTCAGTGGAGCCGGCGCAAGCGCTGTCATGTGGACGATGCTGGGAGCAGTGCGAGTGCAGAAACTTGCCTTTTGCTGGGATTTTGAACGGGATGCCGTCCTTTTAACATCTGCCCTCTGCTCTCTGCTGTCTGGACAAAAGGTGCTGGATATCAGGCTGAGCAGTGGTTTTACTGGGAAATGAGCTGAGCCTGGGAGGGCTCCTTTCCTGCAAATGCTCCTGGCTCCTGTCCAGCAAGACATGCCTGTAAAAAATACTTTTCTCATAGGGAGCATCGTGTTGCACTCAAGACCTCACCCTGTAGAGTAGTGGGGCTTTTTCAGGTTCTCACATGCTTTGTTCCCCTCTGGTTCGGAAAGCTGCCCTTTGGCAGTCAGCATGCCCTGAGCTTTCTTGCCCTCCGTTGAGCTTTCCCTCCCTCCTGCTGTTTGCCTTTCGGCAAAAGGAGGAGTATTCCCTGTTGACTGGGCTCTGAGCATAACCCATCGCTCTCAGGTGAGAAATGCCAGGGCAGGTTGCCTCTTTCTCAATCTATTTTTAGACAGTGTTTTTTCTAGCCAATTTGGCGAGATAATGTCTTGACCAGCCTTGCCCTCGTGAAGATCCCATGAAGCGGGATGAGCTGGCAGGTCTCAGGATCTTCCCAGCGTGATGGCCTAATTGTGTTGCCCTCTTTTTGTGTTACTTCAAGTCCGAACTCATAAATCTGGCTCTGAAGGTTGCAGGCAACACCACCCCTCCCTGCTTATCAGGTCTTTACTCTTAAAATGCCACCCCACCCTTCGGGATCAGTGGTAATACCAACCCAATCCATGTTTTTTTTCCTCCTACTTCAATCCTCATATGTCCATACAAGACTCCTTCCAAGCTTGCCTTTGATGTTGATTTTTTTTTTTCTCATGCACATCCATTAAAACCGCATCATACAAATACAATGATGCCAGCAGAGACCTCTCTTTGTAAGAGTGTGGCTGAGTTGCAGCTGGGTAAACTAAAGGGATGGAGAAAGGATGAAGAGGGAGCAGAGGGCCGGTATTTCTTGCAGTAGGTTGCTCCAAAGCTGGTGAGGCCATGTGCAGAAACTTGTTCTATACCGATGCTGGGGGCTGTTTGCTCTGCCCGGTGAACATGTGCCATTGCCTGATGTTAATCTCCACCAAGATGAACAAGTGTCAGGGAGCAGCTTCTTGGCTGTCTTGGTCAGCTGTGCTCAGGATGCATATCTCCAGGTACCAGCGTGTTGGGTGCTGAGCAGTAGGGCCAGACTTCTGGGTTTGAAAAATTGCTTGCACACAGTGTTGTTTGCTTCTGCTGCAATGCTCATCCCCTGCCTTCTTGCAGTGTTGGGAATCCAGCTTGCATGGCCTTGGGGGAAGCCAGACTGTGGGCTTCAGTCATCTCCTTATGCAAGGTCTCTTTTTGAGCTCTCCTGCCCGGCACTACCAAAGGAGCTACTCATTGACACAGCTGCTGAAAGACAGGGGCAAGGGGAGCAGATTCCTGCAGTGCCTCCATTCAGCATTCCATCTCTTTGCACCTCACAGGACTTTGTGTTGCTTAAACTTTCTGCTGTTACGTTTCCATTTGGGATACTGTGCGCTGACAGCACACGTGGGGTTTGTCCTAGGGGAAGAAGAAGCTTTGATACCTTCGTTGCACAGATTGCAGAGCTTGAGATGCTGGCCTCCAGTGAAAGATCCTTGACTGGGGTTGGTCTTTGCTGCCATGTAGTGAAACGTATTGTGGCAGGATTGCCTGCTGGGCAGGGCCCGCCTCTTGCCATCTGATGCACTGTGAAATCTTGGACGTGGCTGTTGGACACTGGGATAGGACAGCTTGGTAGTGCCAAATCCAGCTGATGGGGGACCATGGTGAGGAACACAGAGTGGGTTGTCACCTAAGGCGTCCAATGTCCTAAAGCTGGATGCTGATTTCTTGGTGCTCTTGCAGGCCTGTGGGAGGTGGTGGATCATGTTTCTGCTTTCTGGGTCAGCAAGAGGTAGTCAGCGATGAGGTCTGCATGCAAAACTTGGAGGCAGTGCACTGTATCTATCAAGGCTGGGGGAAAAGAGGCAGCAGGAGGCACCTAGGACTTGTCCATCGGCTACCAGTTGCTTTCCTTGTTGGGAATCCACTGGAAGAGTTGCTGGTTTGGGCCCGGCTGGTGTGGGGGGAC